TTTGTTGTTTTTAGCTTTTCTCACCTGCTTCAGCTCATTCTAAGCTTTAACACTACTAACACTGCTCTAAATGGCATTTGTATTCATTGTGTTATCGCCGGTGTCCCATAGACATCTTAAACTTAACATGTCTAAAACTGAACTTGTTATCATTTCCTCTCCACTCCCAAACCAACCCCTCTTCCTAACTTCCTTATTACTGTTAAGGGCACCAACATCTTCCCAAGTCACCCTGGTTTACAACCTAGGTTTCATACTTGACTCTTCACCTTCATTTTCCCCATATTCAATTTGTTGCCAAGTCCTGTCAATTCTACCTTCACATCTCTCATATGTACTCCCTTCTCTCCCCTGATATAGCTACCACCTTGGTTCAGCCCCTCATTACCCCACACCAGGACTGCTTCAATACCCTTCTGGTTGGTCTCCTTTTCTCCCACTCCAGTCCATCCTCCACTCAGCTATCAAAGTGATCTTCCTAAAACACAGGTCTGACCATGTCATTGTAGTACTGAATAAATTCTAGGGTCTCTTTATTTCCTCCAGGATGTGTATATATATAGATATATATAGATATAGATATAGATATAGATATAGATATATACATAGATATGTGTGTGTGTATATATATTTATATATGTATATACACACACACACATATATATATGTATATACACACATATATATCCTTTGTTTGGCTTTTACAGCCCTTCATAACTTGGACCTGTCCTACCTTTCCAGAGTCCTTATACTTTCCTCCCCTTCATGTACAATCTAGTAACTCTGGCCTCCTTGCTATTTCTCATACAATACCCTCCATCTTCTGACTATTTTCATTGGCTGTCCCTTTTGCCTGGAATCCTCTTCCTCCTCACCTCTGCCTCTTGTCTTCCCTGGTTTCTTTTAAGTCTTAGCTAAAATTCTACCTTCTGAAAGATTTCCCAATCATCTTTAATGTTAGTTCTTTCCCCCTGAGATTATCTCTGATTTATCTTGCATATATCTTATTCATATACAGTTGTTTGTATGTTGTCATCCCCATCATAATGTGAGCTCCTTGAGGGTACAGACTTTTTGTCTTCTTTGTATCCCCAGAACTCAGCACAGTGCATGACACATAGTAGACCCTTAATGTTTGTTGACTCGACTAGACAAGACCTCTCTGGGACTCAGTTTCCTCATCTGAAAAATAAGAGGGTTAGACTAGATGGACTCTAAAATCCTTTGTAGCTCCAAGTCTAGGATTCCATGAGCATATATAATACATCTGCATTCCAGGGATTGTACCAACATCTTAGCCACTAGAGGGATTAGATCCAGATGGTAGCCTAGAACAACAGTTAAAGAAGTTAAGATTCACTCAAGGAATAGAACCATATTTGACAACTGGCTAGTGAGTATGTTTCAGGCCAAATGAATAAGACAGAAAAAGAACAGGGCCACAACCCTGAAGCGTTCTAGAGAGGATAAAAGAGCTTACTGCACAATTAGTGAAAGTCAGCTAAAGCCTAGCAGAGGAAATCTTTGGGATCAAACAGGAAAATGCCTTCATTGCCCAAGTCCACAGATCAAGGAAAGGCTACTGAGTCAAAAGATAGCCCAGCTAGGGATCAGAAGAATGGTTTAGAAGACCCAAAGAGAAGACTAGAAAGCAGGTTCTAGAAGAGACTGAGAGAATCCCTCCAGATCTGTCAGTGCTATTAACCTGAATCTCAGGATAGATACCAAGGAGACTTGGTCTGGCATCTAACTCAGACAAAAAGCTGAGGACAGGAAAAGGAACAGACAGGGGCCAGGTGCCCCATAAAGTGTGCCAGTTAAACTGATTTGTGGCTAGATTTGAGTTACCTAGGATAAGAAATCTGTACTTGGTAAAGCTTTTTCTTTTTTTTTTTTGTTTGTTTTTTTGTGAGGCGATTGGGGTTAAGTGACTTGCCCAGAGTCACACAGTTAGTGAGTGTTATGTGCCTGAGGCCGGATTCGAACTTAGGTCCTCTTGACCCCAAGGTGGTGCTCTATCCACTGTGCCACCTAGCTGCCCCTGGTAAAGCTTTTTCTTGATTGTACTTTTGGTTTCCTCTAAAGTGTGTGTGTGTGTGTGTGTGTGTGTGTGTGTGCGTGTGTGTATGTGTTAGTCAGTCTTAGGGAAAAAAAATTTAAAAGATGAGCTAATAAAAAATGAAAGAGAGTATGAAACATACCACTCCATTTTCACTGCATTAAAGTTCAGGATTGTCAGTTACTACAGGGTTTTCAATTTTTTAAAATTTTATAACTTCCCCATTTTGTTTAGTATGTTAAACTTCTATCTGTTTTTGTATATTTCCAGAGAGTAAACTATTACTATTTTAAAAAACCAGAGAACGCTTTTGTGGCTTATTTCAGAGACATCAAAGGGGGAAAAGTTGGAAATCTTTTTTCCTTTTCCACAGGGTATCTGTGTAGAAAGGATTCTAGGTGGAAAAAAAGGGTACTTGCAATAATATCAAAGGAGCAAGCAGGTAATTGGAACTTGTAGGAGAAAAAAAAAGTGGAATATAGAAAGCTGGCCAGAATTGAGAAGTTTAGCAGAGGGTTAACAGAGGTGACTCTCAAATCTATATATTCATCCCTAATCTCTCCTGAACTCTAGTTCTTCATTATCAACAACAATGTTTGCTGACTGACTGGAGGTCCCACTGACACTTTTAACTCATCACCTCCCCTGTCTTCTCTAAAAGTCTATTTTTACTGAGAGCACCACCATATTTCCAGGTATACACATTCATAACTTCAAAGTCTTCCATGATTCTTCCCTTTCCCTCACTCCATCATAACCAATCAGTGGTCACACCTTGTCAGTTATAGAACCTTTTACATCTGTAGGTCCCCTTTTCTCTACTCATATAGCCTCTATCCACGTTCAGAACCTTATCACCTCTTAAGTGGTTTATTATAGTATAATAGCCTTCTAATTGATCTCCCTATTATTTCCCATCCCTCTCCTTTCCAATCCTTCCCATGGCTACCAAAATAATCTTCCTATTGTACTTCTCTGATTAAAAAAAAAAACCTTCAGTAGTTACCTACTACCTCTAGGAATAAAAACAAAATTCTCGGTGTGACTTATTTCTCATTACTCCCTTCCATGCATTGTACAGTCCAACCAAATTAGACCTCAAGCTTTCCCTGAATTCTGCATTCCATTTGCCACCTCTGTGCATCTGTCTAAGTCTTTTGCTGTGCTTGGAATATACTCTCTTTCTCATTTCTTACATGTCTGAATCTTTTTCTTTCTTTAAAATTCAGCTCACATACCATATCCTCCGAGAAGACTTTTCTGATTCTCCAAGAAGTTAATGTACTTTCCCCCTCAAATTATCTTACATTTATTTGTTTGTGTACATACTGCAACCTCTCAATAGAATGTAGGCACCATAGAAGTAGGGACGGTTTCATTTTTGTCTTAGTATTCCCAGTACTTGGAACATGGTAAACGTATAAAAAATGTGTGGTGAATTGAACACTGCCAGAAGTGGCAAGGCAGCTTCCAGTGTCAAATCTACCCTCCTCAGCTGAGCTTTCAAACCTTTCCTTCCTTCCTTCACCTTTCTAAGACCAATGTCTCACTAACCTCACTAACTCTCCCTTCCATATACCTTTTCAGTCAAACTGACCTACACCCAATTTACTTATTTTTTGATTCTGTGTATTTATGGGTGCTGTGGTCCCTTTTGGGATTGTCTACACGTGTGCACACACAGACACACAGATACACATGCACACACATGCATACACACACATATACAAGTTCATATTTCTTTCTTCTTTCAAAATGTGACTCAAAACTTTGCTCTTTAGGGAGACTTCCCTGACACATTCTACCTTAGGTTGATCACTCTTTTGCGTTACATCATTTCATCATTTACACCCTCGGTTTGTAAGTATCTGTATCAATTTGTTATAAAATTTGTACTACTTGAGAGTGAGTGCTAGATAACAGGAAGAACACTAGATCGGGACTCAGGAGACCCGGGTCTTAGTCCTAGCTCTGCCACTATCACACGGATGATAGTAATTCATTTCCCCTCTGAGTTCCTTTATCTGTAAGATGAGGTTAGACCGGATGATATCCAGCTTTAAGTTTTATAATTCTATATGTTGTTTTATAAGTAATCATAAATTGTTTCCTAGGTGAATATTTTGTTTCTGCAGCTAGGCTGTAAGCTCTTGGTGGCAGGAGCAAGGCCTTCTATTCATTTTAAGTCATCCTATCCAATCTTTCCCACAACATAGTAGGAACTCAGTAAAACTTGCTCTTCTGTTAACTTATGTGGAAAACAGCTAGGTGTGATAGTGCACTCTTGTAATCCCAGATAGCAGGGAGGAGACCGGCAGATCTCTCGAGTCCCAGGGTTCTGAACTGCAGTGAGCTATACTTTACTCACTGTCTGCCCCTAACTTCATCATTAATATGGTAAGCTCTTAGGATGGAAGTGGTGGGTCAGAGAGAAGTTACTAGGTTGACTAAGAAGGTGCGAGCTGGCTCAGGTTAGAAATGGAGCAAATCAAAGCTCAGGTGCTGATCAGTAATGGGAATGGCCCCATGAGTAGCCCCTATACTTCCAGCATAGGTGAGATAGTGTGACCCAGTCTTTAAAGAAAAGAAATTAATTTTTCTCCCCAAAAAGTGACTGTAAAAGTCATTAGAGTTTTCTGGTTTTCATAATCAAGATTGGCCAAAACATGACTTTTCTAGAGAATTACAATTTTTATATAGAGAAATCTAGTTCTAAAAAGTATCAGTGAATATGAAAACTTAGATGCCAAGTTTATACACCAGTTCAATTTATCAAGGTGTTACATGCTTGATGTTTATTTTCTTTGTGTTTTGGTTGAACTCTGAAAAAATGGCCAGCTAATGATAGGAAATAAATGACTAGCAAAGATAGCAGACGTCTCAGATCAAGAATAAATAATGGGTTGGGACTGTTGCTAAAGTCTCTTTATGAATCACTTACCTGTCTTATTACCTGTGTAGCCTTTGTATCCACAAAATTCACCATGGTGAAATCCAGGATGATAGTATGGATAGCTGATATGAAAGATACATCAGAATTATGCTTTCCAGGGTCAAGTTTGCACCTATGAAGAACTTCACCCTGTTCATTGGTTGATGATGAAGCCATTAACAATTGAACTCCAGAACTGTTTACTGTGGTATAACTGGGAATACAGACTTTCTCTACTTCTTCATTTTTAGAATTTAGGTGTCTTAAAGCTATTTGATCTTCAGATAGACTACGATTCACGAAGGCACTTTCAAATCGTGAGCAGTGGAGCATATCAATGGAGGATACGTCACTTTCAGATCTGTTCTCAAGGTGTTCCATGTAAGCAATCTGAGATGAGAGTAAAGAAGCAACATGTAAAAGGGTCAGAAATTGAACTCAGACAGGGCAGTTGTACCCGGAGTGAGGAAGCTGGCAGAATCTACTACTTTTCTTCTGTCAGGTCACTTCATTGCCCTTCCTTTACTCCAGACTATTCTCAAATCTTCCCTCCTTCAGAAAGTCTTCTTAGATTATGTACTAGATATACCTACTTGAATCATAAGATCACAGATTGAGGGCTGGGAGGGACCTCAGAAAACATCTAGTCCAACACCTTTATTTTACAAATGAAGAAACAAAGGCCCAGAAAGATTAAGTGATTCGCCTATAAGATTTAAGCAGCAGATCTGTGATCTAAGCCAGTTCCTCTGACTCCAAATCCAAGGCCCTTTCCAATGTACTCTGTAGCTTGCTTATGTCTCATGGTTGCCTCAATTTCAACATATACAAAACCAAACCTATCCATCCCGCCTTCCAACAGGCTCACTCTTATAACTTCTCTCTATGCATAGAAAGGGTAGACATCGATTGTATACATGTTAAAGTTAACCAAATTCAGAAAAAAGATTAGAGACAGCCTCCTATAATGCCTTTCCATTAAAGTTTTTCTAAAATATATTTATGTTTCATGGAGCACTATATTTATTTTTAAGCTGGATTATCAGTTTCATTTGTTTTCTTATTCACTCAAGATTTGAAATCATCTTTGAATTATTTCTTTATTTATATCTATATGTAGGACAAAATTTCATAGTGGGTTGAGTAATGGACTTGGAGTCAGGGAGACTGGTTCAAATCTCACTTCAGACACTTAATAGCTGTGCCACCTTGGGCAAGTCACTGAACCTTTCTGTGCTTCACTGTCCTCACCTATAAAACAAGGTAGGTTAGATTTGATGGTTTCTAAAGTCTCTTCCAGCTCTAAATCTACAATCACAATAAATCACCAGCCCCTATCAATTTTTTTTTCTCAAACATGGCATTAATCTCGATTCTTTTACTCCCATTGCCCAACCTCAGTTCAGGTGCCCACATCCCTTTATGCCTGTTATTGCACCAGTGTTCTATCAAATTGCTTTGGCACCTCCAATCACTTCTGTATAATTATATCTCTGCCAAATTGTTTTTGCTAGGGGCAGCGAGGTGGTGCAGTGGATAGAGCTCCTGCCTTGGAGTCAGGAGGACCTGAGTTCAAATCCAACCTTAGACACTGGGCAAGTCACTTAACTCCAATTGCCTCACCAAAAAGCAAAACAAACAAACAAACAAACTGTTTTTGCTTAAATACTACTTTCATTAAACATTGTTTTCATTAAACATTATCATTCATTTCAATTACTGGCAATGATAAAAATTATTTAGTATCTACTGTGTGTTAGGCATTGAGGACACAAAAGAATTAGGAGACTGCCACTACCCTTGAGGAGCTTATGTTCTAATTAAGGGAAATGGGATGTATATAGTTAGAAATATAAATTTTTTAAAAAGATAGCATATACTGGGTAATAAATGAGTGGTACAGATAACAAATACTATAGGGCCTTGTAGTAGATAGATCTGTGAGATTTGGTGTGGATAAGGATGATTTGGTGGAAGGAGCAGGACTTGAATTGAGGTTTGAAAAAAGGGAAATCAGGTTAGGAAATTGAGAAGGGGAAGGGGCATTACAAGTAGGGTCAAAGGATGCTCAGAAATCAGCAATGACTTTATAGAGGCAGCTAGGGGGTTCAGTGGATACAGTATTGTTCTTAGAGTCTGGAAGACCTGCGTTCAAATCCTACCTCATACACTTAACTGGTTGTGTGACCCTGGGTACGGCACTTACCCTCTCCAATTCTCACTTCCCTCATCTGTAAAATGGGAATAATAATAACACCTATCTGACAAGTTAGGATCAAATGAGATAATATAGATGAAATGCTTTGCAGACATTAAAGCGGTATACAAAAGGTGGCTATTATTATTATTGTTTATTATTATTAACATTATTATTGTCTACCACATCAAATAGAAGCTCTTCCTCCTTTTGGTAAGGACTTCCTGAACTGAACCTTCTACTACAGTCATGCCAAACTCCTCCCTGTCCCAGAAACATGCTCTACTCAGATCTACCTCTGGGCACTTGCTCATACTATTCTCCTTTCTGGAAGGGCATTCTCACCCTTTCACTCACCGAGTTACTATCTCATCTTCAAGGCCCAGATCCATAAAGGATTTTCTGACTAACTATAGCTCACAATGATTTTCCCCTTCTCTGAAAGCCTATATTATAGCTGCACTATACAATTTAGTGCTAATGACATATTACCTTATGTTGCTTACTCATTACTTCATGTGTTAACATGAACATGGAATTGTTAGCTCTTCAACTAGCTTTTTGGCTGCTTTTGGGCAGGGAGCAAGACATTATTTTAGGGAGATTTTTTTTGGAACGAGCTTGCACATAGTGCTGAGCACTCAACAGGTAGATGATCAATAAAATATGCTATTCATTAGCAGAGGCAATGTGTATGTTTTGTCCAACATATAAATCCAAGGAGAGAAGGGAAGAAGGCAGGACAGAGTTGGAATAAATATGACCTGCTGAATTAATTTTGTTTTTGTGGAGAAAACATCCACGGAGAGGAGCTCAGAAGATATTTTGAGGAACTTCAGTGGTGCTGATGCATTAGAAGGGTATATATGAAAGTGAGAATCAGGATGCAAGGTATGGAAAGGACAGAGTATATGTTTATGTAAATCTCTGTCAAGAGTAGCAGGAGCACGTGCATGTGGTGGGGGAGACTAGATCTATGTATGTGGATAAAGTGACCACTTTCAGAATGCGTGTTATTTATTCCCAGGAAGAACGCTTAGAACCTTAAATAGTTGAAGAGGGACAAACCTACCCAGGAAAGAAAGAAATTATTAGGCATGCTGTGTTACATAATAACTCACTACTTCCATAAGCTAATACAGCATTCTGATACAATGACTAAACTCACTGTCTAGAATAGTTCTTTCACATATCTTCCACCAATTACTCTCAATACTATGACTGGATCAGAAGCAGAAGCAGAAGGGGCTGTGACAGATTCCTAAGAACTCTATTCATTTTTTTATTGCTTTAGCCTGGAGAGAAAAAAACAATCTCTAACAGCCCCTTTAATATAAGAATTTCAGAGATCCAAAGCTGGGCAGAGAAAGGACTGAAGAGCAGATGTCAATCACAGAAATTCTTTAATGACAATCTAAAGAAACAAACTGCTGTTGAAAGTACATTTACGTTCTTTGGCTAAGTAAAACATCTGTCTGCCTTAGGGAAATTTGTTTGGTTTGTTCACATACTAAAATGTGATGTAGGAGACTCACCTGTTCCAGAAAAACCTTGCCTACCTTTGGGTACCCATAAATCCAAGGACAGTCAGCTTCAGATCTGAAATGCCTATGTCCTCACATCTATGGAAAAACCTCACCTTCTCACTCTCCGAAGCTCGTCAAAGTATCTTACTCAAGATCACGTTATATATCCAAACCCTAAGCAATCGGGGATTCTGGGATTTCTGAGAAACTACTAGTGTAGTTCTTGATGAAGTGAGGAGAAAAGAAGAGAAAAGGGGAAGAGTCTCTAACCCTGGGGGGTGGCTCTGGTTCATCACAGTTGCAGGCACACTTAAGAAGGCCTTCACCTATTTCAGACCTGTTGTCACTGAACAAGGTTCTCAAGTCTTCATCAGTAAGAGGCACAGCTTTCAGATCCACCTGAAAAAGATGAGAGGAATATCAAACTGAGAGGGAAGGCAAAGTGGTGAAAAGAAAGGGGAAGATAGGGAGATGGGTAGGTAGGGAAGAGCTGTGTAATTACCTCTTTTAACAGCAGTTGCTTGATTTCCTCAATATTTACAAAAGTGATGGCGCTGCAGAACTGGAAAATTTTCACTCCTGGAACGTACACAGCCTGGAAGACAAAATCTTAAACTGAGGAGATTTCTTAGGTCTTTTATGACACAAGAACACCAGCTCCAGCCCCTGGAGAGTCTTTATTTTGTTTTTTTCTTCCATCATAGGCAAAAGCTAAAGTTAGAGCTAAGATTCTAAACAGAACTTCTCTTTTGATATAAATTCTTTTTATAGAAATATAAACATAAATTTTGATATAAATAATAAAATATAAATATATATTTTGATATAAAATAAAATTTGATATATATGTTCTAGAACTGGTAGGTGAAAACACTTTTTTGCATATTATTTAATAAAAAATACCAAGCTGCTCAAATTTTCAGAATACTCCTGATTTTATTATGAATCACTAAAACTCCTTCCTTCATTCCCTCTTCCTTCCTTTCTTTTTTCCTCCTTTCTTGGCCCCCTTCCATCCTTTCCTTTTTCTCTTTTCTTTCCTCTTTTCCTTCCTTTCCATTCTCTTTTTTCCTTCTTACTCTTTCCTACTCATCTCTTTTTCTTAATTTCTCTATTTATCAATTAGTGTTAAATGACTGCATTAACTAATGGATACTCCTGTCTCTCTCTTTCTTTTTTACTTCTGTGGACTTCCATTATTTTTACTTGCCACAATATTGGATAAATTTCCAGGAAGAGCAAATCATGAGTCCCACAAAAGTGAGGAGAGAAAAAAAGATGGGAAGATGATGGGTTTGGCTTCTTACCTCTCGGTACTCAGTAAAGCTTCTGTAAATGTTGGTGTTAGGGATCTGTCCCAGGACAAGAATGCTGGCCCTGAAATGAAATGTCACATGTCTTTAGAGAGCAGTTTCTTTGATTTGGCCCTAGAGACATTTGTCACCCTAGGTAAGGTTTGAAAATTTCCCCCTCTTCCTTCTATGTGTGTAAGTAAAAATACAATTCCACCTCTTTTAATGTTGCTAGTTTGTTTGTTTGTTTGTTTTTTAGAGGAATTTTAGAGGAATAGTATTAGCTTCACAAAATTATGGTTATTTATGGGTAAAATAAAACATTTTAAAGTAATAATACAAATTTTCATGTTTTAATGGCTGCAAAGTCAGTTTATATTCAATGGAAAGCACACTTTGAACTGAGAGGCAATCTCATGTTCCCAAGAAGTTTTAAATAATTTTTTGTAATTTTCATTCTTTTTATTTGTTGAAGTTCCTTTCACATGGCGCAACAGTAACTGCCAAATTTTAAAATATATATATAACATCATTTCTATGGTTAGATAGCAGTCCCAAGGGCTTTTATTAGCAAGAATCAAGAATGGTTGCTAATTCTATAGAGGAAATTTTGTACTTGATACTTGAAGATCTCTTCCTCTAAAGACAATTTCAAAGCATCTCTCATTGTTATATAATAGTTAATACTTACATAGTGGTTCAAGGTTTGAAAAGCCTTTTACATATATATTATCTCCTTGGATTGTCACAATGCTGGGGATAAGAACTATTATTGTCCCCATTTTGCAGAAAAGGAAATTACTAAGAAATATTAAGTACTTTGCTCAGGGTCACAGAGCTACCAAATGACTGGGTCAAAATTTAAACATGTCTTCTGAACTCCAAGTCCAGCACACTTTCTACTAGCTATCTTTAATGCAATCAATTTTTAAATTATGAATGTAGACCAAGAAAGGAATTCAAAATCCAGTGAAGTTCATTACAGAACTTGACTACTCTAGTTCATGATCCCTGTAATTTATCTAGAATTTATTTTGTGCATTCCTCATAGAATCAGAACGTCCAAGGAATCCATTCCGGGCTCCCCTCTTGGCTTGTAGAGTTTGCCCCACAGATTCTCCTTTTCCATTATGCCCCACTCCCAGAAAAATGCCAAGTCCTACAGGTAATAAGAAGACACTGCCCCATGGTAGGACATGTCCCCCTCCCTTTGCCATGTCCCTGATTATATAGCCCAGCATTGATCTATACTTTCTTTCATGGTTACCTTTTTTTCTCCACTTTCCTCAAAATCTTCTCCATAGGTCTATGGCCTCCTACTCTCCCAGGTGCCAGCTGCCCCCAGGAGTTCCAACTCTGCCCCACCCAGAGGGAATGGTTTTTTCAAGCACCCAATCTCCCAGACCACAACTTGCACAAGGTTCCTATCTCCCTTCATAGAACATCTCTTTACTCAAAGAAGCATTCATCAGTGGAATTCTCCCCCACTGGCAAAGCAAGGCCTCTCTTATTCCCCATTCTTTTTAATCCTTTTCTCCTTCTTTCTCACTTAGTACCCTGTAGGCTCTTCTCTTACTGAGACTGCAGGGTTTACCTTCCCTTCATTGGTATCCCTTGATTTGATCCGGGACCATCACACATTCTCCTCTATCCTCCTGCTCCCCCATCCCTCCTTTCAATCACTCTCGCATCGTATAATGTCCCACAAAAGACACCGATTCACCTGTAGGCATGGTGTTGCCAGGTTCTGTCCATAATACCCTTCTTTGCTGTTACCTCTACCTGACTCTTGCCTTCATGGCTGTCCCTTTATATTATTTAGAAAGAAATCTCTTATCCAGCTCTACTGTCACTCTGCTGTGGTTGTCCTTGGCTGTTGCATTTGTTCACTCCTCCCGCATTTTTATTGTCTAAGGTGTTTGAGAAACAATCTTTTTTGGTCTGGTTATCTTTACAGAATGTTTCAAATATCTTTTTATTATTGAATGTCCATTTTTTTTTCATTTTTGATTAAGCTCATACTTGCAGAGTAGGTCAACTTGGGCTGCATCCTGAGCTCCATTGCTTTTCAGAACATATTCCACCTCTTCCTGCATTTTCTGGTTCATGTATAAGTCTTGAGTTATTTGAATTTCCTTTCCTTTATTTTTGAAAGTCTTTCTCCTGATTGTTTGCAGAACTTGCCATTTCTGAAATTAATTATTATATTTAACCACTATGTGTCTTGGAGTTTGTAGCCTTGGGTTTTTTCTGGAGGTGATCTATGATCTTTCAATTAGTATTTAATTTTTTATGTTCAGAAGCTTTGGAGTTTTATTTTCTGCACTATGGATTTTTGTCCTGCTGTGTTCTTCTGAGAAATATATAATCCATAGGTTGTCTTTACACATCCTGTCTTCAAAATCAGTATTTTTTGCTTAGATAGTGATCATATTTTCTTTTAAAGTTATTGGTTTTGCTTGGATAATGAACATACTTTAAAAATGTTATTGTTTTTTGTTTTCCTTATTCTAGATGGTCCTTTACAAATACTATTGTATTTGCATTCTGAATCTATTACTCTCTTTTTTGTTTCTGCTGTTGCAGATTCCAGTTTTCCTATTCTGCCCATTATTTTTGCTGTGCAAGTCATAAATTCTGTTCTCATAATTCTCATTTCTATTTTGAATCACTCAGGAACAACATGCTTTGGTTCCATGTTCTCCTCACATTCTTTTGTCTCATCAAGTGTTAGGTCATTTTCCTTTGTTTTGCAGTATTTATTCATAGATGCTTGAACTTGTTTACTAGATATGGAAGCCATATTTCTTTCTTCTGTTAAAGGTTTCCCTGTTGATTTATCTGCTTATGTTCAAAGTCTTTGAATTTTCTTCTTCCTGAGATCTTTGGTAATTTCAGTCTTTTCCTCCCCTTTATTTTCTTTTACTGCTCGTTTTTTTTTTAAAAAAAAATTATTTATTTATTTATTTTTAGTTTTCAATAATCACTTCCATAAGATTTTGAGTGTTCAATTTTCTCTCCCTCTTTTTTCTCCCCCCTCCCCAAGACGGCATGAAATCTGATATAGGCTCTACTTATACATTCATATTAAACATATTTTCACATTAGTCATGATATAAAGAAGAATGAGAACTATTGAGAGGAACCATGAGAAAGACAACAAAAACAACAAAAGGGGAGCAAATAATATGCTTCCATCTGCATTCAGACTCCAAAGTTCTTTCTCTGGGTGTGGATAGCATTTTCCATCGTGAGACCTTTGGAGATGTCTTAGATCCTTGCATTGCTGAGAAGAGCTAAGTCTATCAAAGTTAGTCATCGCACAATGCAGCTGTCACTATGTACAATGTTCTTCTGGTTCTGCTCATCTCACTCAGCAACAGTTTGTATAAGTCCTTCCAGATTTTTAAACAACATGTTGTAGGATTATGGTTCTTAACCATAATCTATCTGCTATCTGCTTCTGTTTTATGGGAGAGTTCATCCCATCCACGTTCATAGTTAAGATTACTATCAGTGTCTTTTTCTCCATCCTATTTCCCCCATTTATGCTTTTCTCTCTCCTTTCTCCCTTTCCCTCCTCACTAGAGTTTTGCTTTTGACCATGGCCTCCCTCAGTCTGCCCTCCTTTCTATCAGCCCTCTCCTTTTTCCTCCCCTTTACCCTTACTACTTCTTCCCTCCCTTCTATCCACCCCTCCCTTTTCTTTCTCCTTTCTCTTCCTACTTCCTATAAGGTAAATTAGATTTCTATATCTGATTATGTTATTCCCCCTTTGAACCAAATCTAATGAGAATAAGGTTCAAACAATGTTTATCTCTCTCCCTTCTTTCCCTCTACAGTAATAGGTTTTTGTGCCTTTTCATGTGTTGTAATTTACCTTTGTCTGCCTCCTCCTTTCCTCTTCTCCCAGAACAATCCCTTTTTACCATTTAATTAGGTTTTTTATCATCACATCAAAGCCAACTTATACCCATGCCCTCTGTCTATGTATACTCCTTTTAAATGTCATAATAACAATACCGTTCTCAAGAGTTACAAGTGTCACTTGCCATTGTATGGATGTAAACAGTTTGCCCTTATTAATAACGTCTGTTTTTTTTTTTTCTTCCCTGTTTGCCTTTTTATGCCTCTCTTGAGTCTTGTATTTGAAAATCAAATTTTCTGTTGAGCTCTGGTCTTTTCATCAGGAAGGTCTGGAAGTCCTCTATATCATGGAATGTCCATCTCAACCCCTGAAAGTTTATGCTCACTTTCAACAGGTAGTTGATCCTTGGTTGTAATCCAAGCTCCTTTGCCTTATGGAATATTGTATTGTATTCCATGCCCTATGATCTTTTATTGTAGAAGCTGCAAAGTCCTGCATAATCCTTTCTGTGGTTCCATGATATTTAAGTTGTTTCTTTCTGGCTGCTTGCCAAGTATTTTCTCTTTGACTTGGTAATTTTGGAATTTGGCTACAATATTCCTTGGCATTTTCAATTTGGAATCTCTTTCAGGAGGTGATTGGTGGATTCTTTTGATGACTATTTTTCCTTCTGGTTCTAAGACCTCAGGGCAGTTTTCCTAGATGATTTCCTGAAAGATGCTGTTTAGGCTCTTCTTTTATCGTGGTTTTCAGGTAGGCCAATAATTTTTAAATTGTCTTTCCTGGCTCTATTTTCAAGGTCAGTTGTTTTCCCAATGAGGTGTTTTATGTTTTCTTCTATTTTTTTCATTCTTTTGTTTCTGTTTGACTGATTCTTGATATCTCATAGAGTCATTAGTTTTCACTTGCCCAATTCTAATTTTTAACAAATTGTTTTCTTCTATTAGATTTTGTACCTCCTTTTCCATTTGGCCCATTTTACTTTTTAAGGAGTTGATTTCTTCAGGATACTTTTTTTTTTTCCCATTTGGCCAAATGTATTTTTTTTAAGGACTTGTTTTCTACAGTCAATTTTTATCCTTCCTTTTCCAAGCCTTTGACTCTCTCTTGCATACTTCTCATTTCCTTTCCAAATTTTTCTTCTACCTCTCTTACTTGACTTTTAAAATCCTTCTTGTTTTGGGCTTGAAACCAGTTCACATTCCCCTTTGAGGTTT